GTGTGTGTGTGTGTGTGTGTGTGTGTGTGTGTGTGTGTGTGTGTGTCACATTATTATTAAGATGTGACCTCCTTCAGACTTCAATATGAACCACTAACAGTTCAGAAGGGCTGGTTATGCACAAATGAAGAAGTGATGTCACACACGGCGGGTTTTGTTTAAGGAAGTAACCACACATGCTACATGTGTTAGCGTGTGTGATTCTTGTGCAATCAGAAACAAATAAAAATATTATCTGACCTGTTTTGTCAGTTAGGTAATTAAAAAGAAAACATGTTAAATTTATTTTAAAAATCACAGATTATTAAAGTGTTTAAAAGAAAAACATGCAAAATAATTTTTATATTTTTATTTAATTTGATCTTTTAGTTCTGATGCAAAGTAAAACAGTAAAAGCACCATTGGATGTTTAAAAACTGACCGTTGTCTAACATCTTTCTCGTCTTCCACAGAAGATATGGTGGGTGTGTATTCCACTACAGAGAAGGCAGTGATCCGAAACCATGTGTCGTACATCTGCCGGAAGCAACATTGTGCCGACACTCTGGTTCTATACTTGAACTCACCAACACGCAACGATGGCACCATGCTGCTGTGGGACGCCAATCTAAATGGCATCGTAAGTGGAACACATAATCAGTAAAAAAAAAAAAGGAGTGCATCTTCTATGATGACATTTTATTAAAGGAAATATACCCTCAAAAATGTATAAAAAAATATTGCACTCCCTTTTAAAACCATGATAAAGTCCAGGCTGTGTCCAGTAATCCAACAAATACACTTTTAAAAGTTCAATTTACTAGCACTAGACACTTACCGTACATGTCTACAAGGCAGGGATGCACATTTGCAAACAGTGGATACATTTTCTCTATTTATAGGCACTAGGTTAGGTATAAAATCTATTGAGATTTTCTTTGTTGATTTTATTCTTGCTTCTTTTCAATCTTGTGGAATGCCGAAAGACAAAGGAGCACAAAAGGATTCAGAACCAGCTGTACTGATGCACTTTGGGCCTCATGCAAGAACCGTTCGTACGCACAGATTTGTTCTTAAGTTGTGCGTACGAGTGATTTAGG